TGTTTAATTATAACATATCATATGAATAAATAAACTATTACAACCAATTTATAAAAAAATAACTAGCACAACAACATAACAACACATTGGTCCTTGGCTAGTTTATGCACATCATATACATCAATATACACATCAAACAACCTTTGTTTTTCTAAGACAACTTTAAATGACAAAAGATGCATGAAACTTTTGTCACATAAAAAGAACAAAATGTTGTCATAGAAAATATGTATGAACTTATTTTTATACAAACACAAGTTATCCATATTCTCAAAAATCTAATATTTCCAAAAATCAAAAAGATCTAACCAAATTTGCAAGATGGCTCTGATACCAATTGTTATGTTTTAGTTCAAAAATAGTTTCATAAACTTTAAAAATATGGCAACAGGAGACTTTAATTTTTGAAATAACATAAATATTTTATACTCACCAAGGATCTTCTTATAAGTTATAGAAAGTTTGAAAACACCAACCATAGTAAGGATGAAGAAATAACAATCTTTGTAGTTCTTTGGGTCCTTATGGGAGGCTTAGAAGTTGATGAAGAATGGGGAACCTTTGAGACACCAACAATGACTCAAATTGATGTAGATGCTAGTCCAAAACTCTTAAACTCTTAAGCTTTAAGTTCATAACCAATATAAACTTAAAGAATGCTTGAAGATGCAAGTAACTTCAAGTGTTCTTAACTAATTAAGAGAGAATGAGAGGGAGAGGAGGAAATTTCGACTATATGCCTCAAGGAAGGAATGAGCACTCTTGCCAAATGCAAGCCCTCATATTTATATGCAAAAGTGAAGGTATTAACAATTAGTCCTTAACACTTTAAGCAAACTTGTCCCTATTGTCATAAACATGCCTCACATGTCTTTAAAGCATGATTAAACAAGTCATACACTTCTTCTTTTTATGCAAATCTCGAAAATTGCATAAAGAAAATGAAATTTAGTTTAAATTTTATAAACTCAAGGTTTATAAAACATAAAGTTTGTCTTTCGAATAAAAGACAAAAGGTTTTCAACTAGTCCAAAAAGTTGTGCATGACTTGTTAATTCATAATATATGAAATAATATAATGTTACTTGCTAATAAAAAATATTATTTTCATGAAATAAATAATTTCCAATTTAATTATAAGAGTTTAATTAAATATTTATTAAAATCAATTTATAATAAATAATAAATTGTATAAAGTCGTTGTTAGTGTGACCCATTAGTATCATATGTTATTTAGCAATATCACTTTAATATGACTCTTGAACATACTAGATGTTTCAGTATGACTTTTGTGTACATACCTCCTTGACGAGCCAGATTACCTACTTATAGCGAAGGAGGAAGAGGTAACAAGTTCTTCCCGTATCGACCCTATCATGCCATCTAATAGCATTTATGGCATGATGCTCGAAGGTACGAACAGTTGTACTTTGTATGTTGTTACATAGTTGCCATAAGGTTGTGCCAGGATCCGGCAGCCACACATCCTCATACATATTGTATTCTTATGGTTTCGATGCAATTTTGCTACTGTTTCGACGTCACTTTGTACTTTCCCATTGGTCTTTGTTTTCCTTTCGATTCTTTGTGCCATTTCAGTATATACGTGGACAAACTTTAAGACATATGGGGCAGGTGACTTCGAGTGACCTTGCAACATGCTGGTTTGGTATATTTGGGAAGGATATAGGTATTTATGGACTATATCCTATTACAAGGTGGTAGTTAGAACATTGAATGCAATGTTCAAGTGACTTGATTTTTATTGTACATATTTTGTTTAAGCTAAAGCTATGTTTGATTCTATTGATGAATTTCAGTATTCGGCGAAAAAAAAAATCATTAATGCAGTACTTTATACTACAATTCGGTATCTTTGACGGTTCAAAAACGATCATGTTTTTGCAGACAATAAGATTAGGAAAGATCAAATCGTTGATTCCATAAATAAGTTTTATTTTTTTAGTACTATAATAGAAATAGTAAATGTTATAAAAACTCCATTTGTTGGTTACATTAGACATTAGACATTGTGTAATTGGTTTTTCTTTCTCTATAGCTTTTTGCTAAAGTTACTTTTTGTAATATATAACTGTTTAAAAAAACAACCAATAATTTTTTTTATACTTTGTTTTCATAAATAAACATTTTTATAAGAAAAACGTTTCAACTTTCAAATAAACAATCCCAATCACCTCGTGATTGTGTTAACAAATGATAGTCTTTGGTTTGGGTTACATTTATCCAATATCATCTACTAGCCTTTTTACAGAATTTATTTGTGATTATTATTAAGACTAGGTTACAACCCGTGGAAACCACGGGTAAAAGATTTATAAAATTTTATTAAATTAATAAGATATAAGTTATGTTTAAAATAACACAGATTTTATAAATAGAAACTAAAGAAATAGCAACATATTTTCTTATATAGCATAACTTGATAAAAACTAAAAAAAAAAGAGTCAAATTAATGAAATTAAAAACTAAAAATAGAAATGTACTTTGAAAGTACATTGTTATATAAAAACATCTAACATACCTATCTATTATCCTTGTTTTACTACAAATACTATAGCACATCCATTTAACTACAAAGAGCTTTTTTTAATAGAAAATGACGTTAGCAAAGATTATAATGTCAATTTATCAATTTTATTTTATATATTAACTAAAAGAAATTGATTCAAAATTGTTATTTTAAACTAAAATATTATTCAAAGAAAGAATATTAAAAACCATCTATCTAAAATCGTACAGCAATACTTTAAATCGGAAGGGCAAACCATGGTTTCTCTGTTGGAATATGAACCAATTTAATATGCACATAAATTGAATGAAAAAAGGTTTAGCATTGATATTAAATCAAAACATATTATGAGTATAACAAAGATGTGAATAGGAAATTTAAGTAAATAAATGAATAATCTCACAAAAAATATCAGGATGCATCTTACTTACCCCTTGGATATATTTATAGAGAAATCTTAATCCTAACTCATCATTACAAACTAAATCTTTGTTTTCTTCCACCTTTGAAAATTACAATGCAATAGACTGTACATTTTTTTAAGTGAAATGTTACTATATATATATATATATATATATATATATATATATATATATATATATATATATATATATATATATATATATATATATATATATATATATATATATATATATATATAAAGAAATAAATCTTTGTTTTCACCATCTAATATGGTACACATGACTTTCGTTGCTTATAATTTCGTAACAATGTAATAATTTACTTTAAACTATATCTTTATAATATCATCTTATTTAAAGTACATTGCCCTAAAAAAAACTTTTAAAGTAGAGTGTTAAAATTGAGTAACATTTTGAAACTATCCGGGTTAATATAACAACTTTTTTAAAAAAATATGTATGCGTTTGTGAGGTCCCTGTTTACAAAATTTAACAAAAACAATATATGAAATAACTAATGAATAGATATAACCAATGAACTTGTAATTTTACTACCATAATATCAATTTACGTTTGATTTTTAAAATTTTGCATTATATCAAGCACATATCTAATCAAAAATAACCAAAAGGTAAAGAAAAAACACAAATAGAACATGACGAAAAAATTAAAGTGTGATGATATATTTGGCTTAGAACTGAAACTGCATTGCTATTTTATTATATAATACACTGATGCCATTTGAATTAATACAAACAAAAAGAGCACCCAAACATGCACAAAACACACACACAACACACAAAATTGTAAATATCCTATACGATGTACAACGTTTATTAATAAACACACATCAATTGAGTCTTTAGAGTCATTTAAAAAATAAAAAAACAAATAATCAAGAGAGAATAATTCCATTGACTTATTTGACTCCCGGCAAATGAATGATGGATTTAGCTTGATATAACCGAAAAAATATAGATGTTTGAAAGGGAAAATGTAAAACGTCCGGCTATGTTTTGTGATGAGGCGTATATAATCTCATAAACGTAAAGGGATCATGAAGGAAATAGAATGAAAAATTATCAACTTACCATAAATTCGGTAACTATTTAGCCTAATTCAAAGAAAAAAAAAATTCAAGATCTGCACATAATCGAAGGTTCCAATTAGCAAAAAAACCATAGCCCCATGTTAATTTCATATAGAGTAATGAACTAAGAACTAAAACAATATAATATGGTTTTAGAGAGAGACGATGTTACTGGTTCCTTGTATCAATATTATTGAGGATCATAATAATATTGGAGAGAGATGAAGGTGTAAAAAATAGTCGCAATGAGACGACGATGGACAGGAAGGGTGACGATATTAGTGGCAGAGAGAAAAAGTGGCAGCGATGTATGTTTGGTGATGGTTTTGAATTACAAAGTGGGAGGATTATATGTTATTTAGTTTCCAAAAAGAAGCCGAAATTAGAGGATTAGAGCCGTGATTTTGGGATGAAAAGGGTAAACGAAACAAATTTAAATATATAATAGATTTGTTTAAAAAAATTTATTGATTTATTGATATCGATATATATTAAACAGTATAAATTCAAAGGAAGGGCAAAATAGGAATTTCAGTTTGTAAATTTATATCTTGAGAAGCTGTTCTTTTATTATATCAGGGGATTTTATTTCTTTATTTTCACATTTACACTTGGAAAGTTTTCCTTAGTGGCCTGCGAGGACTACTCCATATGTACAACCATCTCGTCATGTTCTTTTGCTTAGTGGGATTTTGGTTGTAGTCACTTGATATCACAATCAACTTACTAGCATTAAGATATATCAATAAACTACATGCTGTTAATAAATCATATAATATGTTTAATAGCGGGAAAAAAATATAAAACATCTATAACCAATTGATACGAAGGTCGATTGTGTCATGGGTTAGGAGTGTAGTTGGTAACCTAAATGCAACCCCTCTTACCCGAAGAGTTGACTTTCTCCAATCCCCCTATAAATAAAACCAAAACAACTTCACTCTACTCAAACAAATTACCAACAATTTCAATCACTCTTTTCTATCAAACAATCTCTCCAAATGGCACAAAATCAAACACATGACACTCTCTTGTTGAAGTCCATAATCCTAGCTATCACAATAGGTGTGTTATGTGGTTGTGGAATGGCTCAAACGTCGTCTTCAGGGTGCACAAACGTGATCATTAGTATGTCACCATGTCTTAACTACATTAGTGGCAACTCGTCAACCCCGTCAACAGGGTGTTGCACCCAACTAGCTAGTGTGGTCAAGTCGCAACCACAATGTTTGTGTGAGGTCCTAAGCGGTGGGGGCTCGTCCTTAGGCCTTAATATTAACCAAACTCAAGCTCTCGAGCTACCTAATGCATGCGATGTCCAAACGCCTCCAACTAGCCAATGCAATGGTAGGACCCTTTTTCGACATAAAACTAATACATGCTAGGATATTTAGTTTGATGGTATTTAATATGTTTGTGTTTTGTATGATAGTTTTTTAGAGATTATAGTTAAGTTTGCTTTTTATTTTCTCTCCCAAAATGAATTCGTTAAACTTCTATAAAAAATCGTAAAACTAATATGTAGAAAAAATATTCACAAATAATCTATACATGTTAGTTTTATGATATTTGTTTTGTCTTTCGTACTAATTCTTGCACAAATGTTTTTAAAATGAACAGCCGCATCTCCAGGAAGCTCTCCATCAACACCAAACAACCCTTCCGGTTCGGGTAGTGGAACGAATACTGTTCCATCGATTGGTAATGGTTCATCAGATTTGATTTCTATACGATTGACAGTAGTTCCAATTCTATTTTCTTCACTAGTTGTTGCATATTCTATTATGTTTTGAGTTTTGTGAGATGACATCTTGATATTTGTTTCACTTTGTCACTCACCTTTTTGTAATTTTGTTTCACATAATCTTGGGTTTGACCACGAGGCATGTTTATTTTTAATTGGGGATTTCATATGAATTATAACGTATAATGTACACATTCTTATGTCTATGAATAAATATGAGATTATATGCGTTGGATGTTCGATTTGGTTATAATAACGAATTGTAAGATATATATTCAATTTGAAATTTGTCAACCTACTTTTTCGTCAATCAAGCCAAAATGATAATTATATCCCAATTATTATGTTAAATAAATTATTTTAATATAACCACCACGTTTAATTTAACTTTTGTTGTGGGGTTTAATCCATAAAGTAACAAACAATAGCAATATAAAAAGCATAGTGTGACACAATCATTTAATTTTATTTCAAGGTGATTGTTTCAAAAACCCAACAAACCTTTTTACTATTATAAATTTTCTAACTTTAATTATTCAAGAAAAAGGTTTCATTTTTTAAAAAAATGAATATTCCAAACATATTCAATTGAAGTAGTGATTTATGGTTTATGACTTATGAACTAAAAAAGTATTCTTGTTTGTTAAGAAAAAAGTAATATAAATAAGATGACACAAATGGGAAGGCGTCATTATAAAATTCCATTAATGAATCGCACGTGCCTCGTTGATAACAATGCTGCGTGTCTCGCTCGCTAACAAAATCATCAGGTCGAATTCATCTATTTTGCATTTACATTTCATCATCAAGAAGGCGGATAAACGGATATACATGTCTTTCAAATCGCAAATCAAATGAAAACCAATCGTCTTGATTACATCTTTACTAGCATTAATGGTTTCTTGATTTTGTTTTTCAAAATTAAACTGGGAGGGTTCTACAAACTACAATCAAGCAACGGTTTTCCCCAATCTATTTGATCAGAAAGAACCCTAGAAGATGAGTAGACAGGGTACGCGATTCTGGACGTTTAATAGTTTGGTGGGTGCTTTTCTTGATCTTTCAATAGCTTATTTCTTACTTTGTGGATCAACCATTGCTTTCTTTGCTGGTAAATTTCTGGGTTTTTTCGGTTTGAGCTTGCCAAGTCCGTTCGGGATCCCTAATTCCGATTTGAATAGTTTACTCCTTGATTACCCAACTGATAAAATCTCCGCTGTTCAATTCTCTGTAACTAGAAAGTTCCCTTTTGATTCGATTTTCTTTAGTGTCCAGAATTGCAATGCGAGTGATGGTTTGAATTTAGGAAGAGGTGAGAGGGTTAAGGAATTAGAAGGTGAAGCGTCTAGTAGTTCGATATCTGATGCTAGAAAAGCTGTTAAAAATGAAACCGATGATTCTGGAGTTAAGATTGAAAAGGAAAGGGGGTTCGATATGAAAGGAAAAGGGGCTTTAAATCATCGAGTGAGAGGTAGTTTTCGAAGAAGAAAAAAGAGTAGTCTAGATAGTGGTAAACGCTCTTCTGTCTCATCTTCTCCAAATTGGATTACGTGTGTCGATCAGCAGAGCAATGAGAAAGAACATGTCGCCGGAGTTGCAGAGAACTCCATTCTTTCCGGTGCTAACAGCTGTAACTGTAAGTAATTCGATTACTTGTTATTTCAAATTTCACAACTAATTCTTTTCACTTTTCAAGATTCATCTTTTTTTTTTTCGAATTTTTGTGGTTGGATTTAGACGAAGCACATACTCCCATGGCGGAAAACGATTCCCAAGAACGGATTCCCATTAACGAGGAAGATAAAGCAAACACGATACTTTTATTGACACGAGAATTAATAGAAGAGCAAGACGCTCGAGCAGCGCTTTATATTGAACTCGAGAAGGAAAGAAGCGCCGCCGCCACTGCCGCCGATGAAGCCATGGCTATGATTCTCCGATTACAAGAAGAAAAGGCGTCAATAGAAATGGAGTCACGTCAGTATCAAAGAATGATAGAAGAGAAATCAGCTTACGATGAAGAAGAGATGAACATTTTGAAAGAAATCGTACTGAGAAGAGAGATGGAGAAACATTTCCTTGAAAAGGAAGTCGAAGCTTACAGACAGACTTCACCGGAAAGTAACCAAAATTACAATAATACCCTTGCTTCCGGTAACAACGACCCTGATCGGATTTTACGTGATCTCAGCATGTCAATCGACTTATCAAAACAAAAATTGAAGATAGACAAACAGTTGTCGGAGAAAACCATAGCCATTGTAGAGGAAGAACACAAGAAGGAGACCGATGTTTTTTATGAGACAAATGGGAAGGAGGAGGAGGAGGCGGAGGTGAGTGGCGGAGGCGTTGTGAAGGAGGCGGAGCTGAGCGGCGGGATGGGACTGCCGCCGATGGGGTCGAAATGGAAGAGTTTAAGGAGGAATTCAACGTCGGCTTTGGATAATGAAAGAACGAAACTTGATACTGAAGTTGAGTGGTTGAGAGAAAGGTTGAGAATTGTGCAAGAAGGAAGAGAAAAGCTGAATTTCTCCATTGATAATCGTGAAAAAGAAAGTTTGCAGTTGCAGCTTTTGGAGGATATTGCTAGACAGCTTCAGGAGATACGGATGTTGACTGAACCTCGGAGTGGACGTCAAGCTTCTCTTCCACTTCCTTCCGCTAAGGTGCTGACTGTTTTTTGATTTTTTGACTACAAGGGTAAAATGGTCATTTCCTCACATTTACTTCACATTTATTAATTTTGTTTGTTAGATGGAAACCGATCATTTACTTGCATGCACACAGTTTCAGTTACTCCAAAAAGAAGCAGTTTGTGTATATAATACTTAGAGGGGTAAAATGGTCATTTACTTGCATAACGATTGTTTTTGGTTGGACAGAATGAAGGCCGGGATGCGAATAAATGACCATTTTACCCTTTTGTATTGTTTTCTTCATATAATAGATGTAAAATATAGCAACTTACATACTTGGATTGGTAAAATGGTCATTTACTTGTATAAAGACTTTTTTATGGGACAGAATATGTGAGTAAATGACCACTTTACCCTTTTGTATTGTTTTCTCCATATAATAAATGTAAAAAACATAGCAACTTACGTACTTAGATGGGTAAAATGGTCATTTACTTGCATAAATACTGTTTTTTAAGGGACAAAATAAAGGTCGTGATGCGAATAAATGGCCATTTTACACTTTTGTGTTGTTTTCTCCATATAATGAATGTAAAAAATAGCAACTTACGTACTTAGATGGGTAAAATTGTCATTTACTTGCATAAAGACTTATTTTTAACGGAGTGAATGAACGGGTGCAAGTAAATAAATGACCATTTTACCCTTTTTTTATTGTTTTCTCAATGTAATAAATCATAAAATACATCAACTTACTTCCATTTACTTTTATAGTATAACGTCCTATTCTCATTTATTCCTCTTACAACATTGTGATTTGAAAAATCTACCTAATTATAGCAGTGTCATCCAAATACAAAGAAATTTTCACTGATATAATTGAGTAAAATTTTCAAAGTATAATATACTATAATTTTGCGTAAATTTTTTTCAAATTACAATGTTAATGTTAAGGATTGAATTGTAATTTTGCAGAGTTTGTCAAAGAAAAGGCGATGTAGAAGTGCATCAATAGGACCTGCAAAAAGCTCTTGAAATGCTCATCATCAAGATTGATTATCTAAAAAAAAAAAAAAAATTGGTAGTTTTGAAATTTAAATATTGGAGTGTAGATGTTTTCATAGTATGATACGAAATATTACATTAACACCCCTTAAAATTTGGAAATGTGAAAAAACTTGGTAGTTTTTTTTTTTTTTGCGATATAATATTATTATCTTGTGAATATTAGAATTAGTTGCAGTAGTATGTGTTTAATAAACCTCTGGAAAAGCACTAGTTTGGATATAAAAATAGGAGTAGATGTTTCTTTATTGCATATTATTGTTAGCATCTTTTTTGACATTAAGAAGTCAAACTCAAACTTTCTTTTCTGTGAACAACTCGATATGGAAAATAGTTTGTATATGGAATCAAGTCTTGATGTTTTTAGTGTTACAGAAGACAGAACAAGAGGAATGTTATTATGTTTAGTTATCCAACTTATAAAAATCATCAAATTTCTTTATTTGTTCATTTTGTTTAAGTAAAAGATTATGTAAAATCAATGACAAATGGACTTTAGTCTATGTTCGATCATCGATGAATCGTTATTTCAGTTATGCGTTTTGACATTGAGTTATTAACCATGAAGATCACTGATAAAAGCAAAGTTAACACATAAAGCATGTTAGCAAATTAATCCTCCAAATAAGATAAAACAAATACTTTCAACTTAAACCCAATAGAAACAATCTAACCCCAAATGTTGTTACCAAGTCATCAAGTATTAATTACATCAAAATCTAGAAATCAATATCCTCAATAGATAAAGCATCAAATTTTGATAAAATCCATTTTCTGGAGGGTGTTTTAAAGTTCATTGCTACAATTGGAGGGTTGTTCAAGGTTCAAGTCCGAGTGATTTGGTTGTTGTTTAAAGTGCTGACAAACAAGTTCGCTGCCTTATTTACATAAAAGACAAAAGTTCTTGAGGATTTACTTGAATTTCAAGATTTGAGCTATATGTTGATTTGTTCTTTTACTAATCAAACTCTAAAAGGGGTTAAGAGGTAAAAGCCAATGAGAGTAGTAAGAACAATTAAGGGGAGTTAAAATCCAAACCGAGTGTAAACAAAGGTTTGTGACGGATTTGTAATGGAAAGTGTTAGCTACAAAGATTATATGGGAATGTGGGTAATCAAGGAGTTACATCTCCACAAAGCCATAAGGACAACAAAAGGATGGCTTTAGCATGAACAAGATTTTGAAGATAGGCCAGGTTTCATAGGGCGCATGCGAGGAAATGTAAGTGAAACCAAAGAATTGATGGGGTGTTTCACCAGACATTTTGTGTAATTGGAACTAATATGTAAGCTACGGAGTTTATGATTTGTACTTTATATTATATGTCTTTGTATGTGCGGAATGCAAACACGTATAAGATGAAATTATAAGCCGGTACAAAAAAATGTTGGGGGTCAAGGGGGTCGTGACCCCTTGTATGGTCGTAGGGGTCGGCAAGCCGCGCCCAGTCAAAGGGGCAAAACCCATGATGGGGTTTGGGGCAACACCCCAAAAGGTCTTTGGAAATTTGGATTACTGT